CGAGAAGCCGCGAGGGGCAGGAGGGGCGCCGCGGTCCGAGGCTGGGCTGGGGACGCGGCTCCACAGTGCTGTGAGCGGCCGGGAGGATTTACCGCCGTCGCCGCCGCTGGTGCACCTCCCGCCCGCCCGGGACGCTGCCGCCGCCTTCCCACAATGCACCCCGGCGCCCGGGGGTGCCCTCTCTTCCCTCAGCCTTCCGCCCCCGCCCCCTCCTTTCCGCCGACTTCTCCGAGGGCGGGCACGCGCAAACGAGCGCGCCGGCCAGGGCGTGGCGCGGCGGAGGTGGGGTCTGGCGTGGGCAGACTCAGTGCGCCTGCGCATGGCCTCCCCCGCGAGGGGAGGGGATTGCGCATGCGGGCGTGTCTCCCGGGACCTCAGAGCAGGCGAGCCCCGGGCAGCTCCGGTAGGTTCGGCGTGCGCGGGTTTCTGCAGCTGTGGGGCGAGCTTGCACGTTACATCACCGGTGCATCTCTCCGTGCTTGCTTAAGTTGCCGCCACTTAGGCCTCTATTGCAGAAATAGCCATAGACTCTTAAGGGCCGCGGAATCGGGACGGCCTTGGTGACTGGTTTTGCACACTCCCGGCAGATCTGCGTGCATGAGTTGAATGCAGACGTGGGTTGTAGGAGATTTTATTTTCCCCGGCTTTGCAGCTACTGTTTGGCCCCGTTAGCGTCTCAGAACGGTCCTCCCCAGCCTCGACTGGAAGCCGAGAGGAGAAAACTCAAAAGCAATTATTCCTCTCTAGTGAGGCTTCCAGAGAAGCAAGAATACTGACGTGATTACACCTGCAGCCCCGTAGAGACTAGTCCCTCTGTCTTCCCCTCACAGTTGCGGCCTTCTACCTTTCCCGTGTTGTTTCAGTGCCGAAATGAGTGACCGCTATCTAGAACAAAGGATTAGTATCAAATTTTGCGTGAAATTGAACAAGTCTGCAAGTGAGACCCACCATCTCTTAAAAGAGGCTTATGGGGATGAAGTCATGTCAAGGGCCAGAGTTTTTGACTGGCACAAAAGGTTTAAAGAAGGGCGGGAAGATGTTCGAGATGATGCCCGAAGTGGTCGTCCAGTCACCCACCGGACTGATGAAAATATCCAGAAGGTCAAGGACTTGGTTTGTTCAAACAGGCAGTTAACGGTGAGAATGATGGCTGAAGAGTTAAATTTAGATAAAGAAACTGTTAGACTCATTCTGAAAGAAAACCTGAATATGAGGAAAGTTCCTGCAAAAGTTATATCGGGTATTTTGACAGATGAGCCTAAACCTCGAAAACTCGACTTTCGGTCTGATCTTTCCAAGGAAACTAGGAAAAATAGCTCATGTACCAGGAGAAAGGTAACAAGTTCTGAAACATGGAGTCATCTCCAGTGCGAGGCTGGCGGGGAAATACCTCTGGCAGTACCTCATCCCAAAATCCACTACCCTGCCGGCCAGCTTCTCCAGGCTTCATCTTCAGCAAGCCTCCCCACCAGGGCAGCTCAGGATTGGTTCACACCGTGGTGAGAGGAACGTGAGGTAGCTAAACGTGAACTAGAAAGCGGCCTCACGATTAGGCACCTTCATATGCTGTTCATCTTTTTTCAGTCTTCTCTGCCACTCCTCCCTACGTGTCTTGGCCCTCCTAGTTACTCTCTGCAGGACTGTTGGGCCATCTTCCTTGCTGTTCTCCACAACTTGGAAGAACTTTTGGCTGTTGACTTCTGGTACTTGCTTGTTCTTGATTTCTTTTGCTTAACAAGTTTGGATCTCTTCACTGCCCAGACCTTAGCTTGTTGTGGCTGTCCTGTTCCTTTGTTCTCAACATTCTGCCTCAGGGGATGGTACCAGTGAAAGGTGGGAACAGGACCTCCTGGAGTCTATCTCTCTATGCCCAGAGAGGCATACTCTTCTGGGAGGACCCCAGAAGAAGGCCTACAGTTCCAGCCTGCTTCACAGTCTCAGGGCCTGAGGTATGGTACAGAAGGCAGTGGCGTGCTGACAGAGAGAGCAAAGCTAAGGGCCAGTCCAGCCCAAATGACTCACTGGGAGCCCCTCAGAACTCAGGGGTTGGACACCCATACTGATCGGCTTACAGACCTGCCCCTCAAAGAAGAACAGGGTTTGTTTCATTCTAGTCCTGTTTTGGACACACACACACCCCGCCCCGTGCCATTTGGGTGTCCCCTGTGCTGGAAGAGGAGGATCTGGTCCTAGAAGATATAAACCAGGGGACTCAGGCCCAGGCTGTGATGTGTGGGGAGGAAGACTAGGTGACACTCTAGACTTTGAATTAAAGGAGCCTGCCTACGTGCTGTTTCCCACACAGCAGCCTGTTTTTAGTAACACCAACATGGTCAGGTGTTTTTTGAGCCCCTGCAGTTTTTAAGAACACTGTTGGGCATTGACAGTGTAAAGTCATGAAACAAGATCACCAAGGGCTGGGTGGACTTCATGGATGAGGTGGTTCCTGAAGTGGATTCATAAGGATGAGACAAGGGGCAGGAAATTAGAGAAACCTTCCCAGGCACGTGGAACAGCATGAGGCCTCGAACCTGCATCAGTAGGAAAATGATGGCACTGTTGGCTGAAATAGCAACCTCCAAAGAGGAAGATAATGGTATTGCACAAGATGAACAATTTGAGATAATATGCTTCCTCTCCTCTGCCCCGTACTCTATGCCAGTAGTTTATAAAGTGCTTCCCCTGAGTCTGTGGATAGGTTTATAATAACCCACTTATTTGGTTGTCTAATTCTCCCATCAGACCCTCAAAACAGTCTCTACAAGGTCACACTCCTTTTTTTTTTTTTTAATTTATTTGTTTTGTGAGGAAGATTGGCTCTGAGCTAACATCTGCCAATCCTCCCCTTTTTGCTGAGGAAGACTGGCCCTGGGCTAACATCCATGCCCATCTTCCTCCACTTTATATGGGAGGCCACCACAGCATGGCTTGACAAGCGGTGCGTCAGTGTGCGCCTGGGATCCGAACCAGGGAACCCCGGGCCGCCGCAGCGGAGTGCACGCACTTAACTGCTTGCGCCACTGGGCCAGCCCCCAAGGTCACACTCCTTTATCTCTTCCTGTTTCTGCCAGGATTTATGGAATGGAACTTTTCGCAAGTGAGTTCCAAGTAATACCACATAGACTGGAAACATCTCAGAATGCCTGGTGGAGATGTGGGGGTCAGAGGGAATGGTTAGTAACAGCATTTCATAGGATTGGTCAATGTCTGTGTTTTACCCAGGAGTTTTTACACATAACAGCTTCTCTTATTTTAACTAGTAAGTTAGTGTACAGGCTCAACACTTATTTATTCAATACAGTTATTTTTAGTTCTGTTCTTTCATTGTCTCTATCCCCTTCAAAAAATTACAAGTTCCCCACTAATACCTATCAGTTTTGAGGCATCTTGAAACCTAGACCTTATCCTACAAATAAAAGATATTGTACAAGAAAACTCTTAAACCAAGCAACAGCTTACAGACTTCTGCCTACTCAGCAATTTCTAGACGTTACATCTCAGGACCATTATGTCTTCCTACATCAGAGGAGACCCTGGGTTCCCACAGGCACTTACCACCAGGGACACTGCACTTCTGGAACAAAGCCCCCCATGACTGGCTATTGCGACTTTGTGGCTGAACCTCATATTAATCCCTGCTCAGGCCCAATGGTAATTGTTGCAGAATTGTGTGCTCCTGGGCCCAGCCCAGGATCCCACAAAGTACCTACAGGCATCATCTCCAACCTGTTATAACGCCGAGGTCTTGTGAGAACTTATTTCTGGATTTATTCCTGTCCTGTGAACAGGGCTAGAGTGACCCTTGCAAAAATGCTGGACCAAGACCATGCTAGTGTGTAGGGTACCAGAAGCAATGTTGGCCCAGACAGGGTTTGGACACAGAGCAACCAGAAGCAGGTAATCAAGAGTGTGAATTCAAATTGTTCCAAGTAGCTATAATGAAAAGGACTTAATTTATCACCTTAGAGCACATCCCAAATGGTAGTCAGGTCAAACTTACTATCTGAACCCATTGCCCATTCGCCTGGCTTCCCAGAAAATATTCAATGAGATAATAAACCCTAGGATGCCTCAGATCTGGGGGAAGTAAAATTACTGCCCTAACCCTCATCCAGAGCAAACCATTCACACATGGCTGCTCAGAATCACTAAACTGCAGGCTAGAGTGTGATCTCCTAGGCATGTCCCCAGACAGGAGAGTTATATGACAGGGCCCTTATGTGCCCACCCACCGGATCCATTTATTGCTGACACAAATTTGCCCTGTGCTACCCAGGCCTCTTGATCTCCCGATCCTAGTCTCCGATCCACCCATCATCATGCCCCAGGCTCCTTCCCTTGGCTTTTCTCACACACCTCTCAGTTTATTTATTCTCCTTCAGTTTGCTCTTGCTCCTCTGTTTCCCTGGTGCTTTGTTTTCTGGTTCTGGACCATGCCTCCCTCCAGTAGCTGCTTTTGGCCACTTTGGTGTGCTGCTCTTGAATTGCCCTTTTGGGGATGGTTTTCCACTAACTTGCAACTCCTCTCCCCTCTGATTTTTGGATGCCTCTTCCAGCTCCCCACTTCAGCCCTATAGTCTTGATTAAGGAAATTGTCTGCACCAGCCCTGGCCCCAAGTTGCCTTCCTGTCCTCAAGAAGCGGGGTGGAGCGACATGGAGGATTGTGTTCTTGTTTTTTTTATAAGGGGCATACAAGGAGGAAAAACGCTCCCTCCTTCCCTTAGCCACCAGGGGTTCTACTCCCCAGAGGCAACCATTGTTACTAGTTTCTTAAGGGGGCAGTTTGGTTAGCTGTGGTACTCAGGGGTCGTGAAAGTTTTTCAGAGACAGCATCCAAATCCCATTCTCCCAGCAACTGCGTCTTCCCTGGCAAGAGAAACCCCACCTAACTATAGGAGGTGAAGCCTGGCTCTGTAAGACAGGAGGAAAGCTGGCCATCTGTAAACTTTCACCATAATTCTCCAACTGAACACACAGTCGGTTAATCACAGTCTTTGGCTTTTAGGCTGATCTCCCTCCTCATCCCTATTCTGGTTCAAAATCCACAGGATTGTCATATGCCACAGCTGGAAGTCCAAGAGGAATAGACACCTTCCAGGGCAGATCATCCCATCCTTGATTTTATCCAATTCTTCCTCCACCCATCACCCCGCCCTACCTTACTCCTCCTGTCCTACTGGTAATGAGCAAAAACGGAAATAAAATGTTCACCAATCTTTGATTTTGAAAAACATGGATATAGTTCTGCAGTCTTCTGAATTCTTCCTCTGGCTCTGAATTCTCATTGAAATGTTATTGTTTAGGAAGAATGTGTACTGGGGGCCTGCTTTCCAGAGCCTTCTTTTCAGATTCAGTGCTTAGAGTTCACACATCACTGGAGATGCCCCAGTAAGTCTGGATGCTAAATGACTTGAGGACATCTCGTAAAGGAGTGCGGTACTGTCGGGGAACTGTCTGTCACTGAATCACGTCTACTGCTCAGCCAGCCTGCTATTTGCAGACATCATTGCCAGCAAGTCTCACTGGGCTCCTTGGATTGGGTTTCGCTGGGGTCCCATGTGGCTCAATTAGTAAGAGGTTCCTTTGCTGCTGGAACTGTGTAACTGCGTTCTCCAATGGCTTCTTGGTTGGCTTAGACTTCTCAGATTTTACCAGGCTTTTACATCCTCTATGAGGCAGCCCTCCTGTATTTATCTTCTCTAGTCTCTGCTTTATCAGATCCTTGCAAATACTGTCCCAGTGCATCACCCTTCTCCCAGTATTACTATCCAGAAACATAAAATGTATAGTTGGAAACTTCAGTACCTCCAAGGACCCATTTGGGTCTAGTGAAGGGGTCAGCAAACTTTTTCTATAAAGGAAGTGTCTTAGGATTTGTGGGCTGTACCGTCTCTGTTGTAACAATTCAACATTTTATTGCAAAAGCAGACATAGCTAATATGGAAACAGATGAGCATGGCTGTGTCCTAATGAAACTTTATTTATGGATACTGGAATATGAATATCATGTAATTTTCACATGTCACAAAATATTTTGATTTTTCTTCAACCATTTAAAAATGTAAAAAGCCATTCTTAGACTTCTTAGCCTGCACACCGTAGAAAAACAGATGGTCAGCCAGATTTCGCCCACGGACCATAGTTTGCCGACCCCTGGTCTAGTGTATATAAAGTGTGTATATAAAATGACAGATGATGGATCATTGAGCCAGCAGTGTCTAACAATTTACTATATATAAATTGTGCAATATTGAAGGGAATCTTTGGTGCCAGGAGAGTGAACTAAAGCTGAATGATTGACTACATTACCTTGACCGTATTCTGGTTCACAAAATGAGTTTTGTGCTGTTTTTGACTAAAAATGACGTTACACAAACTACTACCTATTACACCCTTGTAACATCTCAAAAACAATTTTGGCAATACTGCAAATGGTGCCAAGTTACAACCAGCAATAATAGAATGAACTTAAGGTGGTTCCAAATTGCTGTGCCCATGGGGGCAGCAATTGAAAAGTTTATGTTATCACCTATGAAAGTGACTGTTATGGAGGTGAGCTCACTGAGCTATATTTTTTTGCATGCTTGTAAAAAAAATACATATATATATATATTTGCAAATTGTGCCAAGGGTATGTCCTTTTAGGTGTGTTTTCTTGTTTTTCTACTAAAGACAACTGTATTGTGTCACCTTAAACTGATTTTTCCAAAGTTGAAATAGAATCTCCAGATTGAATAGACCTTTACAAGTGTAAAGGTTCAGTCCA